CATGTCAGTGGGGATTCACAGCTCAGCTAATCATTCATGAGGCAAAGTTTGGGAATTTGGAGCGTCAGCATCTGGCTTTTTTGGGGGGGAAACCAGCAGAACATCTGTGTGTTGTAAGTCAGATGGGTAAGTTTGGTTCTTTGCACTGATCCATTTCAGGAAAGCAAAGTCGATGGAAGAATTTCTTTAACTATTCACATTTTCCAGGATAACAGGAATTGGGTAAAGTTCAACATTGTCCACCTGCCAGAGAATTGCATCTACTGAGATATACTTTGACCTCAGCCTTTTGGCCTGCTCTGAGAATTAGCTCTACAAGTCTCCCTGCCCTACTGATTTAACGGTATCGTTGAGGATTTTAACTGCTATGCAATGATTCTGGACATGGCTGCAGGAGAGGATGTTCTGGAGGAGTGTTGGAGAGAAGGTGGAGCACATGGAAGACTCCTCCACCGCCATAAACTAGTGCGGCCACTTGGGGAAAACACTTGGGCAGTTTCTCATGAAGTTCAACATATGCTTACATGTGACCTCACAAATGCACTTCAGCGCATTTACACAAGAGGGATAAAAGCCTATGATGAAATATTTTACATGAATATCTACTGCAGCTTCAGTTATAATCAGTAAATACTAGAAACAACCCAAATGTATTTCTACAGGTGACTAGGTAAACAAACTCTGGTGGATCCCTGCAATGAAATACTATTCAACAATAAAAAGAAATAAACTGTTGATATATGTGACAATTTAAACTGGTGTCAAAGACATTTTGCTAACAAAAGAACTAAAGTCTCAAAAAAGATTCATATAAATAATTACTTTTCTTTGACATTCTGTAAAGGAAATTAAATTAATGATTGTTGGGAGCTGGGAGCAAAGGAAATGTGAATTGTAAGGGACATAAGTAAACTTTGGGGGATATTCAAATTTACTATATTATTATTATGCTGTTATACAAATATATATATTTTTCAAGACTCATCAAGTGTCCACTTAAGTTGGTAAATTTTATTGGATATAAATTATATTTCAATTAAGATGAGCAGCAAAAATAAAAATAGTCTGCAGAACATTTTAAAAATATATAATTATAGACCTCATATTCCCTTAATAGCTTCTGAGTAACAAATACCAGGAGCAAGATTAAATAATTTAAATTTTTTTTTCACATGGCTCTAATATATAGTCAAGTTTGAAAAATGTTTTACTACATCATTTATCTATTGTAAAAGGGATATTTTATTTTTTAGCTCTAGAAGCAAGAAAAGATATGCTTTATTTAAGTTAAAGTGATAGCGACAATAAAAATGGCTGACAGTAACTGAGTACTACTCCATGTCAGGCACCTTGTAAAGATTTAAAATTAATTGTCTCCTTTACCATGTGCCAGATTAAATGGGTTCTCTCTCATTTAATGCTCACCACAAATTCTAGTGCCGAAGAAGAGTCACTGAATGGACTTTATGGATGGCAGTGTGGTTAACTGTTGCTTCTACTAATGATAATAATAAAAAGGCTAATAATGATTATAATCACTAATTGAGTACTTACTAAATCCGAGAACTGTTCTAAGAGCCTTACATGCATTGATTTATATGATTGCTCAACTACTCTAGGGCTCATTCCCCTTTATGGATGAGAAAACCAAGGCACAGAGGAGTTCAGCATAAGCGTAAGCAAAGGACCCGATTCTGCAAATCAGGCCTCATTTGTATCTTTCCTACCACTTGCTCTTACTGCAGCTACTTGAGCCTGGGACGGGAAGGAGACATATGGAGCCTACTGGAGCCAAGGGGTCCCCTCTGTTGACAGTAACAGAATGGTTTCTTTGGCTATTGGCCTTGGAGAGAGAGTAATGAATGGTGGTAATGAGTCTAACCCCAGGAGATAAGATGGAGAATTCATATGTAGGAGGGACGAGACTTCTAGAAAGGGCGGAAAATACATATATATGCAAAGCTGTGCTGTGCGGGCCCGGCACTGAGGGAGCGCAGCAGCTCTTCCTTTATCTCTGGGCACCAGCCACCCGCCCGCTCCTCTGTTTAGAGCAGCTCTCCCTCCCTCCGAGAGTCTCCACCGGGGGTCGGAGGGCGAGGGGGAGGACAAGCCCCAGAGAGTGTCGGCGCCCCCCTTGGCTGTTTCCCGCGGTGCCCACGGCAGTCAAATGCTCACTTCCACGCAGCCACCTTTCTTTGCTGAGGCTGCGTAGAGCAAGTGGCAATGTGGGGCCGGGAGCACGTTGGAGTGAAGAGACTCTGGGCTTAAATTGTAACTCAGCCTCACGGAGCCTCAGTTTCCTTCTCTAGAAATGTGAGACTGAGAAGTGTCCACATTGAGTCATTTGGGGGATGCTTGGCTGCCGCCTCAAAATGGCAGCAGGAAGGGCACAGCCTGTGTTTCTAAAGGAGGGTGCTGACGGCCTTACTCACGCTGTGCAAGTGATATTCTCTTCAGCATAAGCGGAAGCAAAGGACCCGATTCTGCAAATCAGGCCTCATTCGTATCTTTCCTACCACTTGCTCTTACTGCAGCTACTTGAGGCTGGGACGGGAAGGAGAAGCTGTCGTCTACACCATCTGCCTCTCCTTCCAGTGTCCGGCCTGTTGGTTCCGCACACACTGCAGAGCAATGGCAGGGCCTGCGGGGCAGAGAGCAGCCTGGCATTTGTGCGTGGGGGGAACTCAGATGTCACAGCCAGCCTCTGAACCTTGCAGAGCCGGTTCCTTCACCGTGAACCCAGGGAGGAAGGGCAGGATTTCATAAGAGCTGACACCAGGCGTTTTTGCTTGGGCAAAGGTCACCTTGCAAGCCTCCGCTCAGCAGTGTCTGGAGGAGACACACTGCCACGCTCTCTGTGACATCCTGCTGAACTGCCTGCATTAAACGGCAATTGCGGCATCCAGGAGTCTGCCCTTCTCACTTGCTCCTGGGGACACCTGCGAGATCGGTGTGGAGGCGGCTTCCCAGGTAAGGACTCATGCTCCTCTCCTCCCCCAGGAAGATAACCGTTGCTTTGTGACATCCTCTGCGCTTCAGTGACACACACCTAAACACTCATAGTGTGTTATGGTCAGTACCCCCAGATCCCTAAGGAGAAGGAATGACTGAACTTCAGAAGCACACCCCTGGCACCTCGTCTGTGAGGGCAACTCGTTCGGCACTGTGGAGACCCTGCAGGCTCCCGGTGTGAACCGATAGATGCATGAGGAGAGCTTCGGGCACTTTCTGGAGGAAGGTGGTGAATGCAGCACTTAATGTGGGGGACACTGCTACATGGCCATACTTCATCGTCTTGGTTGTATTATAAGTTTTTTGTTTAAAAGTTTAAAGGTGAAAAAAGTGGTGGCACAACCAAGTGGCAGAAGTCAGTCCTGGAACATGGGACTCTTGGGGGAGGCCCTCCACCTCCCACTCTGCTGCTGGAAGATTCCACAGCGTGCTGCTCGGGTTCTATCAGGAACTTCATTCACCAGTGGGGGGAGTAAACAACTCCAAATAAACTCTTGCAGGTCCTATTTCACCTTCTGGAATAATCTGCGGCTTGTGGTCTCTCCCTGAGGATCTGTGCAGAGACTGACAGAGAACAGCTTGCAGGTGAGAAGGAGGAGAGCCCGCGCTCTGGGCCCCTCAGCCCCTCTGCCTCCCCGCGGGGCACAGGATTCAGATGCTACTGCTGCGTGGACGGCACCCCCCAGCCCGTTAGGAATGAGAGTCTTGCCGGGGAAAGGAAGCGCTTCCACTGGAGGAATTTGCAACAGGAGCCTGCAGGGTACAGGGCAGCTCCCTAGTGTGGGAGAAATTCCCGACGGGCTAAAGTGAGGCTTTGGCTGAAATGGTAGACAAATGTGAAGTGCATTGGGAGCTGGCCATTGGTGGACAGGTAACAGAAATGGGACAGCCCTGGGAAGGAACATGCTGCTTCAGGGGACATTCATATGGCGCAGTTGGTAGACATATTATGCAGAGGTTCTTGTTTAATCCCTGGTGCCCTTCTAAGGCAGTCAGGCACTTTCCCCTTGGATAAACACTGTCTAGGAACGCTACGTTCCCTGCTTAGGGCCTCAGAAGGACAGTGCAGCATCTAGTGCCAGGGCTACAGCACAGGTGAGATGAACGGTTCACTTGAAGCCACAGAAAGGAAACGTAAGTTTAGTAATCTCAGCTGAACTATCATTTATGTGCCTTTTACATTTTCACTCTAAGGCTCTCCCATAGGGCAGCATATATGTCGTCACTTTCATGTGAATGGGTCTTAGAGTAGTAAAATAATGACAGGTCATTCCTTATTTAGCAGGTGCCAATTTCCGTGGCTTCTCCCCCATTTAATGCTCACCACAAATTCTTGTGCCGAAGAAGAGTCACGGAATGGCAGTGTGGTTAACTGTTGCTTCTACTAATGATAATAATAAAAAGGCTAACAATGATTAGAATCACTAATTGAGAACTCGCTATGTCCCAAACACTGTCCTGAGGACCTTGCACGCCTTGGTTTATGTCCTTGCTCAGCTGCTCTGTGGCACAGGTGCTGCAGTCATTCTCCGTCACGGGTGAGAAAACCAAGGCACAGAGGCGTTCAGCAACTTGCCCAGTGTCATATAGCTTCTGATTGGCAAAGTCAGGCTTGTCCTGAATTAAAGTAAACCTCAAAGCACGCTCGTTCATGCTTAGAGAATATATTGGTTAATCTCTGTGAATCCTTAATTATTGGAATTCTAGGCGATGTAAACATCAAAATGAAAATTGAGAAATATTTTTGAAAGTTTAACAAATACCAAAAATAATTTCAGAAAGAGGCACCCAGGCTTTCTGCCAGACTTATCCCTCCTTGGAGTTAGTGAGGAGTCTCGTGAATGGGGCACCAGTGAAATGGCGGGGGTAAGGCCAGGCCAGTAGCTAGAGCTGCCTACTGTGTCTGTTTTGTGTCTTTGTATGTCTTCCAGTACTTCTCACTCCTTCGTGTTTCTCGATCCCCTCTTTAGGCTCAGGTACCTGCCAAGATGTTCCAATTACAAGGCCCACAAATGCAGCAGATGCTAGAGAAAGCCTTGAGGAAGTTCCTCCCTGAGTCCTTAAAGGTGAGAGTGGAACCTTCTAGGGGAGAAAGGACAATGACCGCCTGTGACAAAGCTGGGAAGAGAATTAGCTGTCACTGAGCACTGCTCTCTGCCAGGCACTCGCTCCTCTCACGTGTCAGTGCCCATGATCTTGCCGCAGGGCAGGTCTATGACCCACGTAACCAAAGAGCAACTGGAGGCTCAGTTACATGACTTGAGCAAGATCACACCAGCAGGGAGTGGCAATGCTGGGATTGGAAGGCACTCTGACCTTTGCTGTGTGATGACCCAACACCATTCCCTTGTGCTCTTCTAAGAAATATGTCAGATATCAAGGGAAGTGTTTCCAGAATTGCAAAGTTGACCGAAACTAACACACTAATGCTTAAATGATTGTTTCTGACCAATCAAGTGAGTGGTGAAAGGCTAACTATTATGCTTCTACTTGAAAGTTCATAACAGGTCGTTTTTATTTTGTCAAACCCAAATGGATTCTGTTTAATTTGGGGTGAGGCAGAAATTTCGTTTTAGAAGTAGATCAATGATCTTGTACCATAGAGACTTTTTCTTTCTCTTGTTGTGTATGTGTGTTTCATTTTTTATTTTTATTTTTGCACTAGTATATGTTGCAAAGGGACTAGAATATTACCAGGGATAAAAGGTGCCATTGCATTCTGATCAAGGTATCAATTCACTAAAAATACAAACAAATGCTAAAATGTCTACTCCTAACAGCAGAGGCTCCAAGTACCTAAAGTAAAAACTGATGAAACTGAAAGAAGAAATAGGTAAACCCACGGATATAATTAAAGACTTCCACACTCCTCTCAATAATTTATACAATACAGATGAAACCTGTAAGGATATAGAAGACCTGAACAATACTCTGAGCCAACTTGGACTCATTGACATTTATATAGTACTTCCCTCAATGACAGCAGAATACATATTACTTTTAAATGCACATTGAACATTAACCTAGATAGATCATATTTTAAAATGTTTTTAAAAATTGAAATCATGTCAAGCATGTCGTTGAACAATATGGAATTAAACTTAAAATTTTTAAAAAATCTGAGAAGTTATTCAAAAATACCGATGTATTTAGAAATTATAAAAACATTTCTAAATGAATGATGCTTTAATGCCTGGCTGGGGGAGGCTCAGTGGTTGGGCATTGACCTAGGATCTAGGAGATCGCAGTTCGATTCCTGGTCAGGGCACATGGCCGGGTCATGAGCTTGATCCCCAGTCGGGGACGTTCAGGAGGCCACCAATCAATGAGGACTGTCTCATCACTGGTGTTTCTATCTCTCTCTCTCTCCTTCTCTCTACGTCTCACTGAAAGCAATAAAGACACATTAAAAATGAATAAATAAACAAATAAATAAATCATGCTTTAATGTCACACCAAAATTAGAAAGTACTTTAGTTGAATAGAAATGGAAGTACACCATGTTAAGAGTCTTGGGATGCAACCAAAGCAGTGGTAAGCGGCAGCCTTGTAGCTTTAAGTGCTTATACTGTAAAAGAATAATGGTCTCAAATCCATGCTTTATGTTTTCACCTTAAAAACTAGCAAAAGAAGAGTAAATTATCCCCAAAGCAAATAGAACTAAGGAAATTAGAAAAGATAAGAGCTGAAACCAATGAATGTGAGGAGAGAAAAGCAAGTAAGAAAATCAATGAGCCCAAAGTCTGGTTCTTTGAAAAGATTAATAGCCACATTGACCTAGGAAAAAAGAAAAAAGACACAAATTGCCCACACTAAGAATGAACTAGGGGACATTACTACAAACCCAACAGACAGTATAAGGATAAATAAGGCCATACAGCTACCAACACTAGGCCCATAATTTTCACAACTTATGACCTGTGGAAAGCACAAAGGACTTATGGTCAGTCATTTTTCCTGGTGCTCTGACACCTTATGTGGGGATATCTGGAGACTAAGCCTCAGGCATTTAGTATAAACCCAAATCACTGATCCTTCTTACTGAAATAGGGTAGGGCAACCATGGAGAAGGCAGGGTCTAGAATCAGACTGTTTTGATTCCACAGTTCACTCTTCTCTGGGAAACAATGCGAGAGTTAAACATCTATGAGGCTCAGTGTTGTTGCATGTAAACTGAATAAAGCCAGAAAGTCAATACATTTTGGTAGATGTTTCTAAACCTTTGCGAGGGTTGCCAAATAAAATAATATACTAAAATTAATATCCAGCATCTCTTGAACACTTACCAATTATCAGGAATTACATCAAGTACTTTACACAAACTCCAAGGTCTTACTTGGGTCATACAAACAGAGCAACACTGCCTCCCAACTAATTCCCAGACTTGAGCCAGGTGACAGACCTAAGACCCTTTGATGGAAGGAAAGGATGGGTACCCTTGAAGAAAAATTATTACACTGTCAAAAATATGAGCACTGTGCCTTCGCTGGGTGGCTCAGTTGGCTGGAGCATTGTCTCTCATGCACCAAAAGGTTATGAGTTTGATTTCCCATCAGGGTACATACCCAAGTTTTGATCCCCATTCAGGGTGAGTACAGGAGGCAACTGATTGATGTCTCTCTCTCACATTGATGTTTCTCTCTCTTCCTCTCTCTTTCCCTGCCTCTCTCTATAAAGTCAATTACAGTATGTCCTCGGGTGAGGATTTAAAAAAAGAAAAGATGACCATTGCATAGTGTGTTTATGTTTGTATGTGTGTGTGAAGGGGGATAGATGTTAAACAAGGATATATTAAGTAATTTCCTTATTTAAAAACTGGGTGTGACTATGTAAATAAGTGGAAAATGGAAAGATATGTCACTAAATTCTACAATGTGATAGTGAATGATTTTTAATTTATTTTACGTATCTGCATATTTGACTATATTTATATAATATTCTCATGGTTCCACCCCAAAATCTATTTCTAGTGGAGTAATAAAATAGGACCTGAAGACTGTTTGAAGTAGGTGCCCTACCAGTTACTTACCCTGGTTTCATAGAGACAATCCTTACCCAGCTGGAACTGGGCACTTGGCCATCCCTTCCTAAGAAGCTGACTCTCACTTTCTCATGATGCTGCAGGTGTATGGGACCGTTTTCCACATGAACCAAGGAAACCCGTTCAAGCTAAAGGCCCTGGTGGACAAGTGGCCTGATTTTAACACAGTGGTTGTCCGCCCTCAGGAGCAGGTAAGGCGCCCGATGTGGAATGCATACACTTCTATTTGCTCCATGTGCCTACCATTGTCTGCGCCTGGCAGTGTAGACCCAGGGGACCGAGAAATGAATGACAATGATGGTGAACAAGTCCTTGTCCTCAAGGAGCTCACAGCCTGGAGGAAAAAGTACATAAGCAAATAAATTACAATTCGATGAAAAGTGTCTAAGAACAGAAGACGCACAACATAGAGAAAGAGCAGATACAGGAGCTGATTAAACT